CCGTGATAATTATTGTTGAAGACAAAATGGAAATTCAGCATATACCTTAAGATCAGTTCTTTCAGACTATCCTCAGAGAGGCTAGTGTTGATTTGGTTTTCTGATATTTATTTCCATATAAACTCGATTGTCTCTCATACTGGCATATTGGTTAATAAAAATACAACATCGAATTAACATTCATACTTTCCCCCTTGAAAAGGAAGTCGAAAACGTCTTTGATGCTCCTTCGTACGACTGATTTGTGCGGAAGATTCAAGATTCACACTAGGCACCTTACAATTTGCGATAAATAAAACTGTATATATCTAAAACTAGATCGAAAGGAATGTCTGACGTAGGAAGTTTAAGCAAACCGTGCAGTCTTGGTGTATTCGACCTAGCCGGTCTAAGCGAATCAGGACACTCTAATGAATTTATCCCCTTTTGTTATAGTTCCTTTAACGAATATGCCAGTTTTGCGCTATACATTTCGAACAACCTGGTCACACATTCACACTTGTGAAGGCATTTATATGAAAATAATAAAGATCAATTAGATAGAAGTTCAAATATACATAAGGTGATAATTGTAAATAAAAGAGAGAGAAAATTAACAAATTGTTGAAAAAATAGGAAATTATCACATTACTGTAGGTCATAAAATGGCCTAAAGATTACCGGAGTAAATTCAAGGTTACGACATACTGATAATATACACATAAGAGGAGTATGAATTTACGAATAACCCAATAACTCGATAAACCTCACAATTCGTCTTTGAACATTTTTAAACAATGTTTTCTTATTCCCGTGTTTACTGGGTCATTGGACATTAAATGATTTTGGAGCCAGTTAGCGACATTAATTTCAAACGTTTTTCTATTTAAGTTTATAAATGGGTGTAAAAGTCAGTTACAACGAAACCTTTCTTTTATTCTGTTCAAAATAAAAGTGTTCATATCTCGTTAACATTTAGAGATGAATCAAATAGACAGAGACTAAAAGCAGCCGTCGACAAAACATACTATGTTGAGAAACTGGTTGTGACTGAAAGGACTAAGCCCATCATTCTACATAGGCCTACACACTGCTCGAGCGATAAGATTATATCCCATTACACTTATCAGTTTACATGTTCGTGTGGACACACATACATAGGAACGAGTAATCGGACAATGTAGTCAAATCTTATGGAACATGTTAATCTGATGTACTTTCGCTTCTTGTACATCAGCTTTATGGATCGTTGTTATTATTTTCATTGAATTGTACCAAAATCCTTTCTACATCTGATCGCTGATCCTTCTTTTTATAATCTTGGGTTCAAGATATTCATTGCTCAATAAATAAATCCACATTGATAATTTGTACTATTTCATGAAACAATTAAGTTAATCAGAAAAATGTGGTGAATTCGCCTTAAATATTTCCACTGGTATTTGTTTATTTGAATAGAACTAAATCTATCATGATTGAAATTGAGTATTAATTAGCGCACAGTTGTTCGCACTTTTTCCGTTGCACTCCTCAAACCTGATGTCCAGTTATGATGATTGTCCGAAAACTGATCTTACTTGTTATTATAAGTTCCTTCTTCAGACCAGTTTACGCAATAACGAATATTTTGATAACAAAGAGCCCAAATATTCAAGATATTGTTAATGCAGATTCAAGTTAAATTTGGACACTGTCGCAGGGATTCTTTTCTGAGCACCCTAATAGCGTTTCTGTCAATGGAACAGCTCAAGAATGAAGTAACATCATTCATTTGGGCAACCTTTTTGTCATTCGTGATTCCATTGAAATTAGAAATCATATGTGAAATTCGCTTACTGTTAAAGTGATCAGGAAGCTACTAGGATAAAAATCCATATCGTCCACAAAGAAGGAGATACATGTAATCACCTAATAATCCAGCATTGTTCAGAGCTCTTTCAAAATGCAGTTTATACGTTCCAGGGAAATATATGGATCCGTAAGCTAATAGAATCAAAGTTCGATTCCGTCAGGCATCTATCGATTTCAGGCACTACCGTATTCAACTTCATCTATCATGTATACTCCTCATTAAATGAAACTAATGCTTTATTTATAACCATTTACAATCATAATAATTACTATTTTCATTAGAAATATGATGATAAAATCGAAGATAATAAACATGTGTGTACAGTTAATTACTAACAAGGATCAGTTGTACATCATAATCTATTAGGCCTTAGTCATACTTGGAAAATTCATTATAAACTGAGCATAAAATCAATGAAGTTGACCTGTCTAATAATTTGTATTAAGTTCTCTATTGTCAATTTGACACAATGTATTTAATAATCCCTGTTCATGAGTGCCCATTTTGTAAGTTGGCCTATTTCAGATTTATATGTAGAGAATTATTAGCGTATTCCCACATTCATTATATGCACACCAGCTTTATAAGACATTCATTAGCCATCTGCTGATAACACATTCTACTAGGCTTTATTAGATATCGTTTGACCTTATCTTTCAAAATACAATTTATTATTATCAGTGACCTTGTGTGAAGAACTAATTGTATACCTTTGTAAATGATAGATTCAATCATTCAATGAACTTGTTGTATGTGAGGCATAGTTCACGGTAGATTCCACTAGTTTCCTTAACTTGCTACCTAAGTTTATCCTGCATTTTACACCTTAGTTACTTTCTACTTCTACAAGATTAATAGATATTGGTCGATGTTTAACCTTTCGTAATGTTACATCGTATGACTAACAAACATACTTGGTTAATAAAGGGATGTGACATTATTACTATGATTATGTATTAATGTACAATATTTAAAGAAAATAAATTATTCAAAACCATTTAAACAATTTCCAGAAAAGTTACTGAATTCAGATAGACACTGGCTTACGCAACGGCATAAAGTTTAATTCATTTGTATTGATTGTTTCAATCTCAATGGATCAGTCTGGGTTCGAGTGAAGGAATGAACAATCTCATCCGACTGAATAGTAACAAATAGAATAAAATACGCGTCTTGGATTACACCTATAGCCACAATCCATCTCTGCTTGAATTTTTAGATGTTCGTCCTTTTGTTTTTCTGATTGTATGCGTAAACTAATACTTGAAGTGGAGACTTACTTGTGATGACCTTTTATATGTGCTATAGATTATCTTATTGCTTACAGCGAAAACAATTTCGCAAGATGAAATGTACTCTATAAAGCCCCCTTAAGTTTTTCATTGACTTTATTCGAGTATCAAAGGCTTCCTTTCGTCAATTATCAACTTCTGTCATGCTATAATGTTCAGTTTTATGTTTCTTAAAAAAAACTTTTAAGGGTTGCCCATTCACTCAAGGGCAGTTATACTTTAGTGTGTACTCTCCCTCTAGCTTTTGTGTTAAGTATAAATGTTTGATTGTTTAATGGGAAATCCTTTTCATAATCCTTTCATAACTCATAGGGCAAACATACGAAAGTTCAAGCCGGTTGCAGGTTTGTTTTTGATATATGTAATTTTAACAAATTATATTATTTCTTCCAGATATAAGAAATAGAACTTGTTCTTCATTCAGATTAAATTATGAATATGATGATGGAATTAAGATTCTGCGTATTTTAGATATTTTCGTTGAGGAAGTTAGATCCACAGAACTCGCTTGATAAATGTCTTTATTGTGGACTTTATTAATGGCCCGATCAGTTGACCTTGAGAACACGTTTCCCACCAGGAAAATCCTTGGCTGTTACTGTGTCACTTTTAGTAAGCTATTTTTGTGTTTCCCCCAAGGACGTCTCTATTATGTATAAATAAACGCGATTTTTGTGCTTGAATTCATTATGCTTGTCAAATGTTTGTAGAACAAACTTTCTACGATATGTCAAGACTTCTCGTTAGTTCCTTTGTGCCAACGGATCAGAGTAGCCTGCCCGGACACTGGTTCATTGTCTCGTTCTCGTCTATCGACTAAGGTAAACTAATGATAGTTTCAAGCATACCTAGTGACGAGCATAACATAGTCATCCGTATTTTTAAAATTACAAATTATGTTAGTAATTTCAAGCGACAAGCTTGTGAAACACAACAAATTCATCGTGTTCTGTAAGTAATGCCCTTATTGCTTTATATAAGACCTAATTATTTCAGCACAGTGATACAACTGAGATACAATCAGTTACGAATCATAATTAATTTACTAAAAATTGTTCTTCAATTAGAGTTATAGAGATCAGTGTTCGTACACGTAGAAATGATCAATCAATCATTGGTAGACCACCCTTAGAAACCTGAAAGCACTGGACGACCTTTTTGTCCTGGCATGGTTAGGCGTTCGCCCGCGAAACCGAAGGTCCTGTGTCCGGATCCTTCGACGTTCAGGAGTCGTCAATGTACACTGCTGATGAGTCTCATACGGGAAGGAAACGGCCGTCCTGTGCCTCTTGGTTTCTAATGCTGGTCTAACAATGATTGATTGATGATTTCAACGTGTGATTTACTATATTATAAAAGAACAGAGAAATTGCAATCTCTCACATATATTTCGAATTCTCGAGAAAGGCACTCATTAGACTTTAAAACATTATTTCATGTTATATACAAGACTAGATATTTATAGTATTGTCATTTCATTGTTTCAAAGCACAGACTATTTGATCAGTAGGTAATCAGTCGATGGAATATTGTCACTTCAATATGTTTATAATACTCATAATGTTAAGATCTTTAAATTTGGTTTTGTTTACTTTTGTACTAATAAGTACTTTTGTACTGATAAGTTCAAAGGTGTCAAATCGGGAAAAATCAAAATCAAAATGGTTATCATCCATCAGAGTTGTATTCGTTCATTTGGATTGTTTAGTCATTTGGGCACAAAACTGAATCAAACACTTTCAAAATCCTCTTTCTGAATTCGAAACACTTTGAACCGTTTCAAAAGTGCTACTCTTGATAAAAGTTTTTTCTATTTCTACTTATTTAGTAATACAGTAAAAACTAAAGACATTCTAATAAAGGCATATATTTTTAACATGCTAATCCATTAAATAGTGTATTGAACTATTATTTTAAAGTTTAAAGGAATTAAATCTTTATTGTTTATCCCATATAACATGTACTCATTTCAGAAGTAGGTAATTCATGACAAGTTATACGTACTCTACAACCAGAGATGTTTACGTCAAACACAGAGGTACGATGTAGTACAAAAGCAACTGTATAAACAGCAATATCAAATTCTGGAGATGATCCAACAAAAACACTTCCCATTGGCTTTTTGTATCTGTTTTCTTTCACGTACGATACAGTAATAAGTTGATCTTGACAAAACTGTAATGCGAATTTAATGCAAAGATTAGTTATACATATTTGAAAATTACACTGTAAGAAAAATGTCTAAATTACATGAACGTTTTACATTTAGAGCAATATTCATTCCAAACTCGAGATCTAGCTTAGGTTTATGAGTTTTCTCATGACCGTATATTTACTCCTTACAGATCATGTGATTTCATGTGTAACGACACTGCGATTTTAGTACTTAGTACTTTAATTTAGAACATTTTATTAATTTAAGTGTTGTCTAATACTCATAGCAATCATATGGCATTGTTTAGTGAATAACGTAAATTTAAAACAGAAAATCATAGACTGGTAGAAGTACATGATAAAAATGTGCAAATGCTACTTGAATATTTAATTGTAACAATTTAGGCTGCAAATTGTAGTAGGTTACTATATAAACATATACATATTTTCTTTGCCAAATAAAATCGATTTTTGCTAGTTTACGATTTGAATAACATGACAGTTAACAGTCCACAATATATTATGACCTTGTTAATGATAACCTATTAAATAATAATTATTATTCTATGGTTAACTATGAATCGATAACTTTCTTCATAATAGTTCCATTCAAGAAGTATAATTTTGTTTATTGTTGGGGCCGTTAGCTACCTAGAACTCACTTGATAAAGGTCCTAATTTTGGATTTTATGTTTTAGCGCATGGGCTTATCAGTTGAGCTTGAGATAACATTTCCCATCCAGAGGATCTTTGACTGACATTTTTCAGGGGTGGACCTTCTACCAGTAGGATGTCTTATTGACCTAGAATATGCCGATGAGATAGTTCTATTTGGTGAAGACGCTGACAAAATGCAGAGTCTACTGACCACCCTAAGCAACAATGCAAACCTGTTCAGGATGCGGTTCTCCCCGTCGAAATGCGAAATGTTGCTTCAAGATTGGGTTGCATCGGCACCTGAACTAGTGATAGGGAGTGAAGTAGTCTAGTGTGTAGACCGCTTCACTTATCTGGGGAGTCTCATCAGTGTCGATGGCCTGGTGACTGACGAAACCTCAGCACGGATACAGAAGGCTCGATTGACTTTTGCCAAACTGCGTCACTTATGGCGTAGGCGAGATATCCGTTTGCTGACTAAAGGACGAGTGTACTGCGCAGCAGTTCTCTCTGTCTTACCATACGGACACGAAACAAGGCCCACGAGAGTAGAATATATTCATTGGTTAATAGTATTTTATCAAAGATGTCTCCGAAGCATTGCTCGTGTATCGTCAGACACCCGAGTGAGCAACGCTGTTATTAGGAATCGGGTGCTAGATAAGAATGGCAAATCAATAGATGAAGTACTGAAACTTCACCAGTTGTGGTGGTTGGGACATGTGTTACGTATGCCTAACCACCGACTGCCTCGACGAGCTATGTTTTGTGGTGTTTGAATAGGTTGGAAGAAAGGTAGGGGCGGCCAGAACAAAACATGGCAGAAATCCATGAAGTCATTGACGAGTGGACTTAGACATGTCGGTAATTGTCGACTACCTGGTTGGGGTCCACGAGATGATAATAATCGATGGTTAGAGACCTTGAATGATATCACTCATAATCGTTTGCAATGGTGCAAGTGCATCCACTCTATGTGTTCTTTCAAATCCTAATCATCTACCCTACGTTTGTTTTTCTAAACTTACCTCATTGAATTATACTTCTTCACTAATTTCTTGGAACCCTAATCTCCTCTTTTACCAGTAGTACTTCCACTATCTCTACCACTATGGGATTTGAATTGACAATTGCGTCTCTGTGCTAATGTGGTATGGCAACCTGAACTGATGTACTTACGTAAGAAGTTCTACGTTGCAGCTAACTGACTGACTGACTTTCATTGTTGATGGATTATTTTAGTACGCTACTTTTGTCGCTCTCCCAAGGACGTTTCTATGATATATAAATAACTCGATTTCTGGGTGCTTGTAGAATGTAATTTCTACGCCATATCAAGACTTCTTCCTCTACTTAGTGGGGCCTTGACACTCTCGAATTTGAGTAGTCTATCATGTCACTGGATCATTTATCTTTGCTCTCGTTTACCGACTAAGGTGAACTCATAATAGTTTCAAGCATATCAACTGACAAGTATAACATTTATACAGTTCCTAATATTATCCTTCAATAATCAACCATAAATACTGCCTTATGAATTCATTTCATTATTTTCGGAAGTTTTATAACAGACAATTTTTAATGTTATATAACACTCTAAGGGTGTTTTTTGATAAAGTATTTGATATTGTTGATATTGTTAATAAATAGATCCTACTCGAAAGTTAGGATCAGTGTAAGCATGCATTACACAGTAGCCTTACCGACCTACCAGTAAATACTTATAGTATACTCATGTAAACACAATCATAGTCCTATTATACTTTATCATAAAAAAAAGACTTATTGTTAATTCAATAATTACAAGCACATTATAATTCCGAAATGAACTAGCCAATTATAGAAAATTCCTTACTCTTTTAGTCCATCCAAAAAAGTTTAATTGATTTTCCTTTTCTTTCTTATAAAATTGAATCCAATTATGTAATCCAAGCACATCGGAGTTTTTATGTTCACCAACAAATACATGTTCAAATGCAGAAGAGTCTTGTGGACTTGATTTTATCAGTTGATGATTGAATAAGTTTGTTTGTTTGTTTTTTTGTTTTGTTTTGTTGCATATTATTTATGAAGAACATACATCATCGTTATTCAAAGTATTTTCAGGGGGAAAAAAATGTAAAGGCAGTTCTAAATTATCAAAACTGATTTTTAATATCAGATTATTAAACATTTGAAGTCATTAATCAATCATTGTTAGACCACCATTAGAAACCTGGAAGCACTGAACGGTCGTTTCGTCCTGGTATGATTTCAAATGTGTAAAAACACAAATCTCCAAAACTCTAACTGAAAAGATCGTAACATGTGCTCACTAGTGACTAGCTTTGTGGGGAGATTCTCGGAGTTCTAGTTAGAAGACGTGACCAATGGAGTTCAACCCTGTCGGGTGTAGGCAGTAACTACCAAAGACAAATGGGTGAGGTCGCGCGAAATCCCTAGATCAATCGGAGTTAGACATTAACACCGTTGGATGCCGAACAAGTGGTCCGATGGTTAGGCGTTCGTGAACAGTACCGAAGGTCCTGGATTCGAACCCTGCGATGAGCAGGAGTCGTGGATGCGCAATGATGATGAGTCCCATACCAGCACGAAAGGACCGTCCAGTGCTTCCAGGTTTCTAATGGTGGTCTATCAATGATGAATGGATGATTTCAGATGTGTAAAAACACAAATCTCCAAAACTCTAACTGAAAATTAGTAAACATTCACAAGAATGTATGAAATGAAGCAAATAAATTCAAGAGTAGAACATTGAATAGAAATATTAACATGCTATGGACTGAGTTTACTTGATTTAAAGGTTACTAAATACATTCGCCGTTCAGTGCTTCGATCGTTCATTCAAACAAAGCGATGAATTCAGACTTCACTAGTTTAATGTTCATATGTCCTATAGAAGAATGTAAGATTTCTTATTATAGAGTTCTGGAAATTGTTTTTTATCCCTTTCGCGCGCAAGACCAAACGTCCTGGATTCGAAGCCTGCGACTAGCAGGTGTCGTCAATGTGCACTGCTGATGAGTCTCCTGATATGACGAAACGGCCTATCCAATGCTTCTAGTGGTGCTTCCAATGGTGGTCTAACAACATGATTTCAAGAATGTAATAGTTGATTTGTTGTATTGATATTTTTCCGATCTATCGATGATTATTAGTCTACCTTAAATATTCTTGTCAAAAATCATTTGGTATACTTCTCTTCAAGATCAACGATGTGATTAATTTTATGACTAAATAATTATGAGTGAAACTTAAGATGTTTGGATTATATTATTATTCCATGTTATGTATTGGCTTTAAGTGAATTAGTGTATTTCACTAGCATTTTTCCAACAATCATTGTAAATATTCAAAACCAAAGCTAGCGATTATTAATTTATTCTTGCCACCCGTCATCTTACTATCAACTTTTACCTTTACCTATTATGTATAGTTATGCAGTGTATTTCATTGTGGTCATAGACATACAAGTCACATTAATTAGCTGAATATTTTCATATGAATATTCATGTATATTAGATGAAAGCGTGATGATGATCTAATTGAAAACAATATTATTCCCATATATGTGTTGTTTTATTAATTTATCAAGAAAACAGTATAGAAATTTAGGAAGACTCATTTTTGAGATTACTTCTCACCAGTCCACACAATATCTCTTCTTCTGATCAATCTGACAATATATTTTTGATCAGCGAACATCTTAGAATCAAACTGCACTGAACCTACCTTCTACGTTGATATCGTTTGAACCACAAATCCTTCAACAATGCTCCAAACTGCTTGATATCTCCTGATATTTTTCTTTTTTTAACAAGAAAATCATAAGTCTTTCTCATTATATTCGTATTCAGTAATTCTTTGATAAAATCATCTTCCTCAGTCAGTTGTTGTTTTGTGACAATTTCACTGACACCAATTTGAGGATTATAGTTATCCAACAATGCAATGAACTCTGTAGTGTAAATATAATTTTAAATTTCATTTTTGATAACCTAAATTTGTCTAAATATGTTAGTGATTGATTAAGAAACATTAAAGAATAATATAAATCTTTGGATTTAAAGATATTTCACTCTTTGACACCTTGAATTCCATCAACATAACGATCATTAGGCATATATATTTTAGCAAAGATTTATTGAATCTAAATCGTAACAAGATAAATGCTTGTTTTTTGTCTTTCTCATGTCTTTTGACTTAGGTCTGTTATTGATCGCCATGTTACATATCTATTGGAAATTAGTCATAAACAATAAGTGAATTATTTTTTCTAATGAGAACTTTCAGTGTTGTATTTTAGTCAGTAAATTTATCGGATGTCAATGCTCTCCTGGAAATTTGTGGAATAAGGCTAAGCT